AAAAACGTGTTTATATTGACCAAAAACAGGGCGGCGGTGACCAAAAATGGGATTATAATGACCAAAAATGGGTTTATATTGACCAAAAACGTGATTATATTGACCAAAACCGGGGTGGCAGTGACCAAACCCAAGGTGACAATGCCCCAGTTGACGGTGTCACCTCCGGGGGGGACACGGGACTTCCCATAAAACCTTTGGGGTCTCCCATAGAACATTTGGGATTTCCATGGGACATCTGCCATTCCCATGGAATATTTGGGATTTCCCATGGGATATCTGCCATTCCCATGGAATATTTGGGATTTCCATGGGATGTCTGCCATTCCCATGGAATATTTGGGATTTCCCGTGGGACATCTGCCATTCCCATGAATATTTGGGATTTCCCCGTGGGATATCTGCCATTCCCATGGAATATTTGGGATTTCCATGGGACGTCTGCCATTCCCGTGGAATATTTGGGATTTCCATGGGACATCTGCCATTCCCATGGAATATTTGGGATTTCCCGTGGGATATCTGCCATTCCCATGGAATATTTGGGATTTCCATGGGACGTCTGCCATTCCCATGGAATATTTGGGATTTCCCGTGGGATATCTGCCATTCCCATGGAATATTTGGGATTTCCCATGGGATATCTGCCATTCCCATGGAATATTTGGGATTTCCATGGGATGTCTGCCATTCCCATGGAATATTTGGGATTTCCATGGGATATCTGCCATTCCCAGGGAATATTTTGGATTCCCCACGGAATATCAGGGATTCCCATGGAACATTTTGAATTTCCCACGGAATATTTTGGATTTCCCACGGAATATTTTGGATTTCCCATGGAATATTTTGAATTTCCCACGGAACACTTTGAATTCCCCATGGAATATTTTGCATTCCCCACGGAACATTTTGAATTTCCCACGGAACATTTTGAATTTCTCATGGAACATTTTGGATTTCCCACGGAATACCAGGGACTCCCACGGAACATTTTGAATTCCCCACGGAACATTTTGAATTCCCCATGGAACATCAGGGACTCCCACGGAACATTTTGAATTCCCCACGGAACATTTTGGATTTCCCATGGAATATTTTGAATTTCCCATGGAACATTTTGGATTCCCCACGGAATATCTGTGATTCCCACAGAACATCTTGAATTCCCCATGGAACATTTTGGATTTCCCACGGAATATTTTGGATTCCCCACGGAATATCAGGGATTCCCATGGAACATTTTGAATTTCCCACGGAATATTTTGGATTTCCCACGGAATATTTTGGATTTCCCATGGAATATTTTGGATTTCCCATGGAATATTTTGAATTTCCCACGGAACACTTTGAATTCCCCAAAACATTTTGGATTCCCCATGGAACATTTTGAATTTCCCATGGAATATTTGTGATTCCCATGGAATACCAGGGACTCCCACGGAACATTTTGAATTTCCCATGGAACATTTTGGATTCCCCACGGAATACCCGGGACTCCCACGGAACATTTTGAATTCCCCACGGAACATTTTGAATTCCCCACGGAACATTTTGAATTCCCCATGGAACATTTTGGATTTCCCATGGAACATTTTGAATTCCCCATGGAACATTTTGGATTTCCCATGGAATATTTTGAATTTCCCACGGAACACTTTGAATTCCCCATGGAATATTTTGGATTCCCCACGGAACATTTTGAATTTCTCACGGAACATTTTGGATTCCCCACGGAATACCAGGGACTCCCATGGAATATTTTGAATTCCCCACGGAACATTTTGAATTTCCCACAAAACATTTTGGATTCCCCATGGAACATTTTGGATTCCCCACGGAATATCTGTGATTCCCACGGAACATTTTGGATTCCCCACGGGACATTTTGGATTCCCCACGGAATACCCGGGACTCCCACGGAACATTTTGGATTCCCCATGGAACATTTTGAATTTCCCATGGAACATTTTGAATTTCCCATGGAACATTTTGAATTTCCCATGGAACATTTTGGATTCCCCACAGAATACCAGGGACTCCCATGGAACATTTTGAATTCCCCACGGAACATTTTGAATTTCCCACGGAACATTTTGAATTCCCCATGGAACATTTTGGATTTCCCATGGAATATTTTGAATTTCCCACGGAACATTTTGGATTCCCCACGGAATATCTGTGATTCCCACGGAACATTTTGCATTCCCACGGAACATTATGAATTTCCCACGGAACATTTTGAATTTCCCACGGAGTACCAGGGACTCCCACGGAACATTTTGGATTCCCCACAGAATACCAGGGACTCCCACGGAACATTTTGAATTCCACACAGAACATCCGCGATTCCCACGGAACATTTTGGACCCCCTGGAACGTTCCGGACCCCCGGGATCGCGGGGCCCTCACCGGTGTCCTTGTCGGCGCCGAAGAGCACGGAGGGCGGGTTGGGGTGCACCAGCAGCTGCAGGTAGTTGAGGGCGAACTTCTCCACGTACTCGCGCAGCTGCTCCTTCTCGTACATGCGCTTGATGAACTGCAGCGCCTGCTGCCGCACCTGCGCCGCCCGCGCGTCACTGCGGCGCCCGGTGACACCCGGGCACCTGAGTGACACCTGGGCACCTCTGTGTGACACCCGAGTGCCACCTGAGCTACCTGGGCACCTCTGTGTGACACCTGGGCACCTGAGTGCCACCTGGGCACCTCTGTGTGACACCTGGGCACCTGAGTGCCACCTGAGCCACCTCTGTGTGACACCTGCGCCGCCCGCGCGTCACTGCGGCGCCCGGTGACACCCGAGGGCGCCCGAGTGACACCTGGGCACCTCTGTGTGACACCTGAGTGCCACCTGGGCACCTCTGTGTGACACCTGAGTGCCACCTGGGCACCCGAGTGACACCTGGGCACCTCTGTGTGACACCTGGGCACCTGAGTGGCACCTGGGCACCTCTGTGTGACACCTGAGTGCCACCTGGGCACCCGAGTGACACCTGGGCACCTCTGTGTGACACCTGAGTGCCACCTGGGCACCCGAGTGACACCTGGGCACCTCTGTGTGACACCTGAGTGCCACCTG